AAATGGAATGAATTACAAATTGATTCATAGGAAACTCACAAAACTTTTAAAGGAATTGTTTGGGCTATGAATGAAAGGAACAGAGAGATCACCAAATGAAAAAAGAGCCCTTTGAACCCTCAAATCTCAATGGGTAGGAAGCAGGCTAAGAAAATTACTCAGCTGCAAACACTAGTCATTTCTTACGGAAATACTAGGGTAACAAAGGAAAGAACCAAAACCCCAGAGGCAGTAGGACTGATTACTAATCAAGGAATGGTCCACATGTGCCCAGGTGGATTTCAGAATTGCTATGGACCAGTGACTGCTATGTGCCTCCCACACTTCCCTCTTTAGTGGGAGTGTCTATGGTAGTTACCCTGTCCCTGTCCCATCATTGTTCCCGGGCCACAGGGGAGAGGGCAAGGAACTTGTTTCTTCAGCTCACAGATCTTCCTAATGAGAGGAGTGGTTCTCAAGGAGTTATACCCAAGGGACTCCACCTAAGGAGACATATCCCTACCTGCACCTGATAGTATTAGACAATAACACAATTACCATAAAGTACAACAGAAGTGACACTGAGTGACTTCTGAAGATAGGTCATAAAAGGCAAAACAGCTTCTTAGAACCCAGTCACCATGCTGTGAGGAAACCCTCCCCACATGAGGAGGCCACATGTAGGCATTCTGACTGCCAGCTCCAGATGAGGTCACAGCCACCAGACATGCAAGAGAGGCCTTCAAAAGGACTCCAGCCCAACCCCCAGCCACCATTTAACTGTGACGCCATGACACCCCAGGTAGGAACTACCAAGCTGAGCCCAGTCACCCCTAGAACCATGAGAGATAATAACAATAAGTGATCGTTGTTGTTTGGCCCTTCATTAAATTTGGAACAGTTTGCAATGCAGCAAAAATAGCTGATGCACCTGGGGGTGAGTAAGAGAATAAGAGCAAAAAGAAGGGAGGAGGCAGAGATGGGGGGAAGGGAAAGCAGGAACCAGAAGGACCACAAGGCAAGGATTTTGTGTGCCTGGAGAGGCCTGGTGCATAGTAGGTGCCCAATCCGTGTTGACTAGTGAAAAATGAAGGAAGGGGAGAAGAAACAACCCTAATTCTGGGCACACTGAGTTTCCTAACGCACATTTGAAGACAAATTCAGGATGGACCCAGCAGAGACTACAAATTCCCAGACAGAACCCTTGGCTGCCCCAGATCCTCTGCGTGAAGGTTGAAGAGAGAAAGTGAATCAGTGGGTTTGGCCCAGGCCTCATGGGCAGTTTGCTCTTGAGCAGCCAGCTTCAGGATGCCCAGGACTGGATGCTGGCAGGCCGGGGCCTGCGTGAAGACTGGGCGAGACCCTGCAGAGGGGCCAGGCTCCGTAGGCTGGACTCGCCTGGTCTGCAGCTGCAGGACCGTCCAGCTTTCAGAGGCTGGTCCAGTCGCTGCCCAAGGCCCCAGCTGCCCCCGGGCTGGCCTGAATTGTTTTCTGTCTTAACAACCAACCCTTCCTTCCCAGTTCTCCAGCCCTCAGGTCCGGTACCCTCTTGTACTGTTCCACATTCCCGGTTTCTGTTTTCAGCCATCTGCTCCTCATGTCTCCCGTCCCCGTCACCCATTCTTCCCTTTCACCAGTCTTCCAGGACTCCTGTTTCGTTTCTGCTCCCATCTCGCACAGTTCTTTCTAAGGCTTCCACTTGTCCCCCTGGGAATTTTAGTCCCTTCCACCCTATAATCGGACCGGAATTTCCTTTGCTAATTTTCTTCTTTGTCCCTGGTTTGGTCTGTCTCTGTTTCCTGGCCCCCGCCCCCTCATCTTCTCATCTCATTCTCGCCACCCCTTAAATTCATATCTGCCTCACTCTCCCCCCTCGCCAGCTCCTCCCTGCATTTTCTCTTCCTCAAACTGGGTTGTGAATGCCTCCTCGGAGCAGGACACGCTGTCAAGCCAAGGTTCCCGGAGGGCCAGGTTGTGATCATTTTATTTTTACAACGTCCTTGGATGGATGGAGGTATCTGTGCAGGGTGGGGTTGCGTGCTGGGTGGGAGGGGACCACAGCAACGAATAGCACTTTCGATTAATATAGGTCAGTTGCTGAGCTGTATCCCAGGGGTCCCTGTGAGAGTAGAACCTCATTTGGGGCCAGCTCTGTAGAGGTGGCCGCAGTGCCATCTCGGGGAAGCTGTGCAGAGGGGACCTGGAGGATGGAGATGGGTGGGCTGCTCCTCTGGATCCAGAGGACCCTGGTGAGAGTAGCTCCTTGTGCTCCTCCTTGGGGCCTGGGAGCACAGGAGAGCCTTTTCTGGATACGTCTTCAGAAAGGTGCTGGGACCCCTCCACATGGCCAGCCTGATCTGACACAAAATCATAGAACCCACACTGTGCCTAGTTCTGCTGCTGTGTTCTCAGGCCAACTGCTTAACTTCTCTGGTCCTCAGCATCCTTGTCTCCAAGACAGGAGAACTACTACCCACGGAGAGAGCAAGGACATTAGTAATGGGGAAGAAAGAGCTGGTGTCAAGGGCATATGTCAAGAGCAGGTGACATATGCCCACTGTCACGCCACTGACCATGGTTGATGGATTTGATAAGCAACAGCCGAGGGGCCGAGTCACTTCTCCGGGTGGGTCCCTATGCTCCGGCCACAGATTTATAGAGGACGAGCCAGTCACACAGCTGCCCTCTGGCCAGGATGTCCCTGCACAGTCCCCAGCAGCAAGCCACCCATGGTTGGTTCCTGATTCCATCTCCTTCCAACTACACGCCCAACTCCTGGGTTCAGCCAATTGGCAGGCCTTTCTTGAGTCCAAGAAACGTGAGCATGTGGGGTGGGAAGACTCTCCCTGCGCAGGAAGGACTCCCTGGGTCCAGGCCTGCATGGAGCCGCACAACAGTCTAAAGGCGGGTGGCATGTTCCTCTTCAGACAGACATTAAAAAGGATGCTTGGAGAGGCAGGGCCACTGTCCCCCAGTGGCGGGACAGGAAGTGGACAGGCTGGGTCGGGGACTCAGAGGCACCTGACTTGCCCTGTGCTCAGGAAGGGAAGAGAGGCCAAAAGGTCCAGTGCTACCCAGAGCTCAAGAGATTTAGGTCTGAAGTGGCCACTGTATTAAGCGCCATAGAGGCAGCTTCCGTCCTGCTACGAGCAGGTTCATGGTGGCGTGCGGAGGGGGCCTGAGTGAAGACAGTCCTGAAGGCCCGGCTTAAAGGCGAAAGCTGCGGAGGGACCGAGCTGTGGGAGGGGTTGGGGAGCTTTTATTAAAACAACAGAGGGGGCATGTTTATACACCAGTAAGGAAGTGCCAGTAGTAGAAGGAGAGGGAGGCGTCCAAGACTCAGGCTTTGCTCCTGCCGTATCTGTGCCTTTCATCTCAGCTGCCCCAAATCCTATTTGAAAATAGAGTATAAATAAATGATCAAATAATAAGACATTGTTTGTTCCCTGCGAGCGGTGACCTTGAAGGGTCTTTAGAACAGTCTTTGTTCTCTCCTGGCTTATTTCAGATTTGGTCTATTGTCAACAGCAAACAAACACTGACTGAGCAACTGCCATGTGCCAGGCCCTGGGCCGGCTCGGGACACGGAGCCAGGGCCCTGCCTCCACCCTCAAGGAGCTCAGTCTGATGGTGCAATGGATATGGAGATGAGCCCCAGCGAGACAATGGGACCCATGCACCGAGATGCACAAAAAGACCAAAGTCACTCGGGAGGGAGGGAGGGAGGGAGGAAGGAAGGAAGG